AAAAATCAGCGTTATATTTTCAAATTTTCACAATCTAATTTTCATTATATCTTATCTCGTTCATTTGCGCTTTTGCAGCTGAAGATGATGGTTCGGTAAAACCATCGAAACTAGTCCTGTGAAAATTTGAAAATATAACGCTGATTTTTGTTCTTTGACTTCCAAATTAATTGCTTTGTTTGTTATTAATATGTCTCATCTTTCCTATTTCAGATAAAATTTACTAGTGTTTCTTGGACAGGAAAGCAAGAATTTTTAATTTGAATCAATAAATTTATGATACACTGAAAACGGTTTCAAGTTATAATTCCCTTTCTGAATATCTTGAATGTATATGAAAAAGTAAAATGCAAATTTAATATTAATATTATCACCCTTAAAAAACACCCAAATATTTCGTTTATTACTCTCTTAAAACTACGTAATAATTAAGACGGAAAAAAGAAATTATTTAAAATAATTATTAGTTGCATGCAGTTGAAGAATATAGGAAAATGCTGAAGGTTTTAAAGATTTTTAATTAATGACAAAAATACAGAAAATCGGAAATAATACGAAATGTTTCAGCAATATCTCAGAAGGAATGAAAATTGCACCAGATATTTGTCAGAATATAATTTTAGTGATAGCAGTTTAATCAGTCTGCATTGAAATTCCGGTGATAATCAGTGACATACAGATTTAGGTTACTTAGGTTAAAAATGCGTAATAATTTAAAAATTTAACCGGGTAAATTTTAAAACCAATTTATTTGAAATCTAGCAGCTTCGCTGCCAGCCTTCGTCTGGCTTTTAAATGTACCGGAAAAATGGCTGAAGGGAACACCAAACGTTAAATTTAAAAAACTGCGTAGAATTTTACTCTGCAGAACAATTTCATAAAAAAAGTTATTACGTATAACAAAATTACAATGAAATAAGCAATATCCCTTAATACAAATATTAATTATCCTAATAAATAAATTAACCAAATTCCCTTTGCAAAATCTTAAGAACTCAAATGGTATAAAGGAGGTTAAGAACTTTGTTTCCTAAAAAAATCAGTCAAAACTTTTCAATATCTTAAAAACAGTGAAATGAGCAATAAATAAAATAAAGGAATGCAAAAAAAAAAAAAAAAAATTCTGAAAAGCAAAGTATAATTAATGATATTTTATCTTATGTTTTCAAGGGAAAAAAATTACAATGAAATAAGCTATATCTCTTAATACAAATATTAATTATCCTAATTAAAAAATTAACCAACTTTCCGTAGAAGAACAAAAATCATGCAAAACTTTTCAATATCTTATAAACAGTGAAATAAGCAAAAAATAACATGAAAGCAACTCAAAAAACATAAAATTCCGCGCAGAATTTTACTCCACAGAACAACTTTATCAAAAAAAAAAAAAAAAAAATCAATAAAAATATATTATATTTATATAAAAATGACAATGAAATATGCCAATCTCTTAAAAACAGTGACATAAGAAATACGATGAAAAATTGTTGCCAAACCCATATTTCTAAAAGAATGAAACTATTCAAAATGATGCGATTTCATCAAAAATCTATCAACAACAACAATAAGACAGGAAAATTGTTGCCAAAATCACATTTTTAAAGATGTGAGATGTGAGAAAGTGTACTCGGAAGCTTCATTTAAAAAATCTTTTAAAAATACAAAATATTATCATTTTTCCAAAATTCTTTTTGTAAAAGCATTCGCAAGGATGAAAGTTTAACGTGTCCAAAAATCAAAGAAAAATAAACTGTACATTTTTAAAAATAAACTTTTTTAGAAAAAATCCCATTGAAAAAGTGTTAAGCTCCCTTTGTTAAATAAATTCGTATTTAATCGATTTATTGAAACACGAAATTTATTTTAAGTTCGTAAAATAGCTAAGTGCCTACGTTTCATGACGATGTGAAAATGGAGTGTGTAGAGTAAAATCTCGCTTTCCTATAGCCCATTATGTTTCAAAATGACACGATTTCGTCACAAAACATGAAATAAAAAAATTCGAATTCGAATTTCGAAAAAATCGCTTCGAAGTGCACTGGCTCTTGTGTAGATGTACCTATGTACCAAATTTCGTAGCCGTGGGTCTATTAGCTTACGCGCAGCGCGAACGAAAGGCGCACACACACAGACAGACTCTTTCTTTTATTATATGTAGAGAAGATATGTAGAGTACCGTAGCGTGTCTACGCAGCGAACGAACGTAAAGGCGCACACACACAGACAGACTTTCTTTTTTTTTATATGCCTAGTACAGATAGCCAGTAGCTTCGCAGAGTTCTCTACGTCGACCCCCGGGGGGATATGTAGAGATAAGATTGTTTAAGGGAAGGAAACTTTTCAAGTTTCGCAGCTGTAGCCTGCGGCATTAAGACGATCATCACGGAGAGTCTAGCCTTTTGCAATTCTCTTGAGAGCTCACAGCTACCGAACAATATATAGCAATCAATCTCACTTAGCGGAATCATTGAAGTAAAATTCTGGGAGGGATGGGAAATAACAAAAGAACTGCTTGACAATTTTCAGAGGTTTAGGGTTATTTTCGCGACATTTTACGGGAAGTTCGGTCCAAAACTAGCGACAGTTTTAAAGGGATTCGCAGAAAATCACTCGACAGGCTAAGGGTTAAGTGAATCTGGTGGCAAATTGTAACTATGGTAAATAAATATAGTGAACTTTAAAAGAGCGCATTTATTCTATCGCGGTTTATGCACTATCCGCAAAGTAGATTTAATTCAAAATTCGTTAACTGTTAATTCAATATGCTTAAATGAAATGCAGGAAAACTGAGTATAATTTAATATTCCCTACAAGGAAGTCATGTGGTGTACACATCAAATTTTTTTTCTTTTTCTTTTACCGGTGTAGTTTACCAACAAAATTATCAAAGCTTGTTGAGATGGTCTCGAACAAAATCCAGTTTCATATTCCAGTGCAAACAGTTGTTCCGGATAAAATAAGGAGCTCCTATGATGATATGCAGGAACTTGTGACCAATCTGAAGCTGTTGAATGTCCCCATCTGTGGTTTGCTCCCAGGCAATAACTGAAGTACAACTTCTTCCTTCCCTGTTTAGACTAAGTCCAGACGTGTTAGAAAACAGGAAGTTTAATTTTAGGATTATTTGCAAATATTTTCCTTATTATTTTTAATGTTATTTGTCCAAGTGAAGTTAAAATTCAGTGTAACTTCTAGGTGTTTAGGCATGAAGACAAACAGAGCACTGGTATTGAAGAGTCCCACATCCCTTTACAGGAGCCTTAGGTGAGACTAATCGTTATTTCCGTGACGTCAAAAATTCAAAAAGTTTAGTAGGGCTTGGGAATACGCATTTGGAATCAAAATGAACCGGTTTACTATGAGAGCTTTCCTTCTTGTCCCATTATAAATTCTTTGCTTGGAATGACCAAAGGACAACCGCAGGGCCGTCTAGTAATCGTGACATTTTTGGACTCGTTTTTCTGCTATGCAGTTTCTCTGTATTCTTTGAGACTGCAAAGGAGTCGTTCTTCGATTTCGAGTTGTTTGGATTTTTTCATTTCTGGATCCCTGCGGCAAGCTGCTGCACGTTCGCAGCGCTCTATAAAAAAGTGTAAAACATTCCTTTCCCCTTAGTGATTATCAATTAAATTACTTTGAAATAGTGTTTTATCTACAAAACCTACACCTTTGCCGAAGATTTTCAGCTCCGATGTTGATGAGAATGAAACAGCGGACATTGTGAGGATATACTACGAAAGCCTGGAATTTTAAGATAAGTACCCTTCTTTCATCTAAACTAAATCAAATTTCTATAAATAAGTGCCTTTAAATCAATAAATTTTTATTTTTCATCAGTTTTTAGCATTAAGCAATACTTGAAACAGCTCATTGCTTGTGGCTTCCTTTGTGGTTACTATTCCAAACAGACCCCAACGTTATCAGTTCACATCTGTCACCACCTACAAAGACCCCCTTATCTTGTTTTGAGGAATCTCGTGATGAGAGGGAAAATTGGAGATTCGGGGCATCGCGCTACTTCCCTCTCGGATCTTTTGGTTTCCCTTTCTTTTAGATCGCTTAAATATATTTTCGCCTTTAAATAATATTATACCTAGCCGATTTTTTTTTCTCATACTGTTCCTTGCTATCTGTTAAATGTCCATATGTAAGGGATGGATTATTCTTCACTGCCTTAAATAATTTCTTAGAAGTATCAGCTTATATAAATAACAGTGTGCCTCATTGTGTTAAACTAGCATTAATTAACTAGTAAAAAATTATGATAGTAAAGTAATTAAACTTGTAATAAATCATGATAGTTAATTTAATAAATGCTATGTTTAATTTATGTTTTTTAATACATACACTCTGTAATTTACACACATATATATAAACATATATACTTTTTTTGTGTGTGTGCGTTTGTGGTTTTGTATTGTGTATGATTCTATGTTTTTTGAAATATGTATGAAAATGTTGGGAACGAAAATAGCATAAGTTACTTTAGTTAAATTAACATATACTTTTGTCTCATGTTATGGGTCTTTTGCTGTTGTGTCTCAGGATGCAAGCATACACATACTTTGTATTCCATGCTAAATACCTTGATACGAAGCATTTTAACACTGTCACTATTTTTTTCCCCAGTATCACATCTATTCAGCATTACCGAACACACTCACTACACACACACCTGTGAGACAATATTTATTGTAAATGAAGACAGCTTCTTCTCCTTTTAACTACACTTATGGACACAATCGTATTTTAGGATAGTTTCTACTTCTTTTCCTTTTCTTTGTATAGGCCGTTTTTTTTCCCTCTATTATTTTTTGGGCATTTATTTTAAATTTTTGTTTTGTCCCATCTTTTCGTTCTGGCCTTTCGAACTCGTACAAAATGTACGAAGTTCCTTTTTACTCTCCCTCCTTTCTTTCCTTCTTTAAGCTTGATTATTCGCCCGTTAGGGCATAAAGACTTAGAGGGTGCAAAACAAGACGTCTGTCTGTCTAATTGTTTGAATACAAAGTTGAAGGAAGCAAAAATCTTTCTAGTATTCAAAGTATAATTATGGAAATAGAATCTAATTCTGAAGCTCAATAAAATTCTGTTAAGTAGTTTTGAAATTTATTTAGTTACTAATTAGTTTACCACAAAAAATTGAGTGTGATCCTCATCAAATTTGTGGCACGATGTTTGGCATCAGTATAATTGACAACATGTGGTCAGTGTTTACATTCTCGATAGAATATTTAAGTTTGTTTTTTGATATTCATATTTCATGAAAATTTTTTGATTATTACTTTTTCCTAGGCTACGAGTATATAAATTTCTGTGTTTGATGTTATATATGTTACTTTCTGCTAGGCTATGAGTATATTATTATGGTATTATTTTCTTGTTTCTAATATATAGAAATATAGCATATTTTCAGTATAAAATTTCAGTTAAGTTTTACTTAAAAGTATGGGAAAGCAGATTTGTTTCATGCATGATCTTTATAATACTGGTATGAAATGAATGAATTTTAATCTGTAAACAATTTTTTGTTAATATTGAAATGCGTTTCTTTGGGTACATTTTTAGGCACTTGTGGATCATGTCAGACAACATGCAATAGAAAAAGATGTCCGTGTGCATAAATTTTCCCATTGTGTTACTTCATTTTATCTAAATTTCAAGGATAATTCTTTTCATTTTTATATGGCATGTTATCAGTATAAAGGCTAGTGAAAATAAATTGGTATGTGTATCTGTTTTTGAAGTGTAATGCTTAAATAAAAAGATGGTGTGTGTTTCTTCATTTAAACAAAATTTCAAGGATAGTATTTTTCAGCATTGTACTGTTTGTTATTTCTCAATGTAAAGGGTAACAAGGGGAAAAAAAACTGGTATGGTACATCTGTTTTTTTAAGCATGATAATTTTATTTATTTCTTTAGTGATGCATATATATAGAGAGAAGGTGTTTGGTCCAACTGAAGTTATAATAAATCTAATTTTACTAGATCTCTCCCTCCCCTCAGGTGTAGAAAATTTTCAAATGCAGAAAGTTTATTTGCAGAATTAATTCATTTCTGATAAACTTATTATCATTAATTTTTTATATAACATGTTATTAAGTTACACATTTGACTACTGTGTAATAAACTTGTATTTAGGGCAAAAAATTAACTATAATTTTGCATCTGGTGACTAATATCATATGCTTCTAAGAATATTACTTTTAACTTTTTCCATAATTTTTGTATTTCAGGAACATGAAACTGTTATTTTGATATACTTAAATAATAAAAGTGTGTATCTGAATCAATTAATGGATACAAATATTTTACAGTTATTTTTAGAAGATATTTGCCATATCGCTTCTAATAATTCATAAAGTATATGTTAAAATATAGGTAAATAATTTGGTGCAGAATTCAAATTTAGGGTTTAAAATATAGTGAATCATAAGACTAAATGATTTTTATTGTCATGATTTGCCTGGGCTTAAGAATGTACTTTTCGCCCGGTGGAAATTGTCATCAAACTGTCCTGAACAGGCTTTTTGTTGATAATAACTTCCAGGCTTATCAGTACCTCCTTTTGAGTGGAGGGTATGCAAATATAGTACCCAATTTAAATTACATTGTGATTGTAATAATATTGTGGTATTAAATAAGTGATTGATTATAATTACAATTTAGGATAATTGCATTGTAATTATATTACATTGTATCTGTGAACTCTTAATTTCATTACTTTATGCAATTATGTTGTAAGTGCATAATCTAATTGCAATAATATAATCTATTCACAATTACAAAATAATTATAAATGCAGTTACATCTTAAATAGAGGCCATTTTAATACTTTTAAATTTTTGCAAGATAACTTCCCATTAAGGTTCATTTGGAGGAAACTATGCAAATACTAAAAAAGAAGTTATGCTAAATTTACATATTTTGTACAGTACTTTCTTGTTATAATGCTGTTCAATATATCTTCAATACTTTTGTAAATTTAACGACATTCTTTGCAATCACTGTGGTGCTTTAAAAAGAAGTTTCTTAGTTATGCTTTCTAATAAGAATGGTGTTTAAAAATTAAGTATTATGTATGTAATAAACTAGCATTAAAAAAACTTGACTGCATGAAAATGCTGTTGCTGTGTAAAATAAAAATAAGCTTATAAAATAAAATAAGCTATTTTATGCTATTAGAAATTTGAAATTAGAAAATAAGCTTTTTATGCTTTGAAATGAATTACATGTGTGGTTAAGTCGTCCTTTTACAATTTAAGAATGTGGTTAACACACATTCTTAAATTGGACAGGTTTTATCTAAATTATTAGTATAAAATATATAAACTATGAATTATTTTGTAACATAACTCAAATTACAAAATTCATTCTATATACGTTCAAATTTATTATCTTTTATGGAATAACTGTTTTTTAATTTAGGTAAAAATTGGATTTTTAGAAGTATTACAAATACAATGCAACACAAAGGTGATCTGATTGGAGAGGAAGGACTTTTTATTACGGTTTCTAGTTCGTATTTATATTACATTTGGTGAAAAGCATCCAAAACACAGAATGCTGTACTTTCTTCTTCCATATATGTTATGAAATATTTCACACATTTAAAAGAAAGTGTTTCTTCAGAGTCTTGCACAATTATTTCCATATACCTCAGACTTAAAATGACAACATATTCTTAAGTTATTTTTTTAGTATGAATTTACAGTGTTTTTATGGAAATTTTTGTTAAAATGTCATTAAGATAAATTTATTTGCACACTCTCTACGCTTTAACTATTTCCCCATTTGACACTATTGAAAGTTTTTATTCATATCTTATTTATTTTAGTCTGCTAACTAAACTGAAACATCTAAAGCATAAGTTATTTTGAATATGTTTTACAAAATATACGCGAAATTTTTATTTAAGTGAAAACGTCTATATACTATTCGAGAATTAATAAATTATCCGAAAAGTTTATGTGCGCTGAATGCCGCGCGTCTATAAAATCAATCTTTAGAAAAACAGCAAACATTCAGCCAGTGTCTGCGACAAACGCGCCAAAATTGGCAGTGCGTTCCCTTACTCGCCAAGAGAGAAAAGTTGGTGATTCAGCCTGGTTTAGAGGAGCCTAGAAAATGACGTCCTTTTACTCTCCCTCCTTTCTTTCCTTTTTAGCTTGATTATCGCCCGTAGGGCTAAAGACTTAGGGGTGCAACAAGACGCTTTGTCTATTGTTTGTACAAAGTTAAAGGAAACAAAAATCTTTTTTTCAAGATAATTATGGAAAGAATCTATTCTGAAGCTCAATAAAATTCTGTTAAGTAGTTTTGAAATTTATTTAGTTACTAATTAGTTTACCACAAAAAATTGAGTGTGATCCTCATCAAATTTGTGGCACGATGTTTGGCATCAGTATAATTGACAACATGTGGTCAGTGTTTACATTCTCGATAGAATATTTAAGTTTGTTTTTTGATATTCATATTTCATGAAAAATTTTTGATTATGGAAAATTCTGAAGAAACAGTCTCAGCTCTTGCTACAAATAGTGATCAACCGCCCTTGTCAAAACGTCAAAAGAAGAGGCTGGAAAAGCGGAAAAAATGGATTCAGCAAAAACCTTTGCGACGAGCGAAAGAAAAACTGAAACGCAAGCAGAAAATTCAAGCTGCTAAAGAAAATGGGCGTGATTTAGGACCAAGTCGAAAGATACTGAAATCTCTGAAAATGGCAGATTCTTCATGTAAACTGAAAGTATGTTTTGATTTGTCATTAGCCGATGTAATGACACCCCCAGAATTTTCTAAAACATTTAAACAGTTGCATAGGTGTTATTCCATAAACCGAAGAGCAAAAGCTCCATTGCAGTTATATATTACTGGCTTCACCGATAGCACGAAGGAAACAATGAGTAAAATGTCTGGATGTTTTAATTGGGATGTAAATTTCAGTCAGGAATTGTATAGCAAAGTATTCTCTAAAGAAGATATTATATATTTAACCAGTGACTCACCGAATGTGCTTGACGAGTTAGATTATAATAAAGCTTACATAATTGGTGCACTTGTTGATCATAACAGGTTGAAAAATATATGTTACGAAAGAGCTCAGAAGGAAGGTGTTGGACACGCAAGGTTACCATTAGATATTCATTTTAAATTTAAAACTAGAAAAGTTTTAACCATTGATCAGGTGTACTTAATATTCTTGAGATTAACTGAAGGTAAGTCTTGGATAGAGGCTATCCTCGAAACAGTGCCAAAACGTAAAGGTGTTGAGTTATTGAATGATTCTTACGAACTGTCTAGAAATTCCTTTGTGGAGGGTATAAAAGGTAGTGTATTAACAAATGTAGATTCGAAAGACACTTGTAATGACAAAACTACAGAGTCTGAAAATATTAAATGAGTAAAAATTAATAGTCATATAATTTTGTGTGTTTGATATATCTTGCTATTTTTTGTGCATAAAGTATAAGGAGAAGTAAGAAGCATTTCTCATGTTGATCAATCAAGCAATTTTATCTTGAAGCAAATATTTTTTGGTTTAGTATGGTATTTAGAACTGCAAAATAAAAGTGCAATTATATATTTTTGGTTACTTTATATTCTTTTATTCACTGTATTTATCAATTATCAAAATATTTAGTTTAAAAACAAGATTCTTAGGTAGATAATTGAAAATATAAATCGGGGAAAGTGCAGAATCACCCACTGCTTTGCACGTTTTTAAGAATTACACAAACTCGGTATCCATGTACATACACATCGACCTATTTTCACAAAAAAAAAATCAGAGAATTGCTTAAATTTGGCATTGCGCACTTCCTTGATTTTGTCTGTGTACACATGGATGTATTTTCACTTAAAAAGTCAAAGGAAATTGACAAAAATCCAATTCTTGTAAAAAGCACCAAATAAATGGGCGATTTTGCACTCTCTATTGTAGTATATAGAATAAATGGTTTTAAGATTTATGTAGAAAAACTGAATTTTCTACAGAAAAAAAGTACTGAACAGTATATACTGAATGGTTACTGCTTTAAATATTAATTTGTTTTAACAATTCCACCTTTAACTTCTATCATCCATTGGTGGTTGTTGAAGAGATTTAGGATGTTATTGGTCCAAGGGGCAGTAATTGAGAAGCAAGTGGACAATAAGAATATGTTTGGAAAATTTGGTTGCCTGAAAACTTTGGAAACAAACATTTAGATTTACTTTATTGTATGCCACCCAAGATCTAGTGGTTAGCATTGCTGACTTCCATGCCGAAGGGCAGAGGGGTGGGAGACCCTTGAACCCATCTCCTCAGGGTGCTCTCCGTCAAAATTAGGGGCGGAACTGAACTAAATTGCACTGTCACCTGCAAGTTGTTCAAGGCTGTTGCCAATGACAGGCATATTTTGCGTTCTTTGCCACAAAGAATTTTGTGGGCTTGGGCTGATGTTATTGTCAAACAAGTGTGCATAAGTAACAGCAACTTGATTGTACAAATGCTACAGTCATGCATTTTACAAGATTGATATCAAATCACGTTAGATAACATTCCCACATGCTGGTCATGTATAAGGCTCTTTTCAATTTCAAGTGAGTGTAATTTTGAAGCTATCATTTTAATATTCTAAACCATGACTACCAATCTGTGCTTTGAGTGATTTTACATAGTTTAAACTGATGCATTTCTCTTATATCACTTATATGTCACAGTTTTAATATGTTTTTAATAGTTCATTAAATATATCACAAGATAATTTCATTATCACTTATTTATTTTCATTATAATTTACTTTTTTTATGTTGAAACAGACATGATATAAGCCTTTAACAACATTTGAAATTTATAGATTACAGACTGAGCAATTAATTTTGCTGATTAAGTGCAGTAGCTGCTTTAACAATGAAATACCAATTTCTGTTCTATTTAGGTATGTTTTGATTTTCAAAATAAATAAATAAAAATTGACAAAAAAATGTAATTTCATCATTCATTCATTTCCTGTATAGTATATAAACCCAAGGCGGTAAGCCTATATTTAAGGGTGCCCTTGGATTATCGCGAAGTTGTTTCATTTATGCTAACCTGAGTAGTTGAATGTTATGGAAACCCTATTATGACATGATTGGCTGCATGATTACAGTAAATTTGATTGATGGGAAAATATTTGTTGGATGTCAGTTAGGAAGTACATCGTGTATTGTGTGCTCTGCATCGTAAAATGGCTGCCGATGACAAAGTGTGTGTTTGATGGTATAGAACAAGACAGCGGAAGTTTTTTTTTTTTTTTTTTTTTCTGTGGAAGTGGTTGAGGACGGAAGAAAAGAAACTTTGTTGGTTGTAATTCAATGGAATTATAAGTGTCCTGTTTGCATGAAGAAAATGCTTATGGTCAAATGGATCATGACTGAATGGAAGATCGTTCAGATGGTTTTGTCAGAAGAAAGGCTCAAATGCTCATCATATGAAGTGTCCCATTAGAAAGGGAACATGGTTTGAGGAAAGTTTTTGGATGCTGTTAACCCTTTACGGCATGGTGAGTCAATATGTGTCCAGCCTAATTAATATTTATTTTCTCAGCAATTTCCATTAGAAATTTTCTAATTTTTTAAAAATAATCAATTTTACTTATTATTTTTCTTGGTAGATGTCACTGCTACAGAGTTAGTTAAAGCCAAAATTCAAAATAGGATCAAAAAGTGATATCCAGGTATCTGCCATTTTCATACTGTCAAAAATTTTGGTATTGTGTTTTATTCTTTTTTTTGTGTTTTTGTCAACCAATTAGGATATGTATTCTTTTTTTTTTCTTTTATTTTATTCAAAAATCTTAATTGAATCGTATTTTATAACATAATTTTTTATCTGCCTAAGTGGTTAAATTTGTCCCACCACACACTTGAATTCCGTTAAAAGATAACGCACTCACGATCTTTTTCTGATTTTTGCATTCAACTTTTCGCATGCTTTCATTCGTGTATGTTTTTGATGGCAAATGTATAGAAAAAAATTACACCAGAAGCGGTGGTCTTTTTGCTGATTACCATCCGATTGGACTCAATGCTTCGATTTCAGTTCTGATTCAGAGAAATTGAAATCCGGAGCGAATAACTGATGTTGAAGTTATTGCTGAAGAAGAAGGGATATCTGTTGACAACAAGGTGAGTTTTGCAGAACCCCAGGTCTTCGTTCCGTGCGGACAAACAAGAGTTGATATTGTCACTGCCGAATTCAAAGAATTCAGACCGACATGTGAGATTTTTGATTTGATGATCCAACATCTTAAATTTATTCCTAAGTATATTCACCTAAGTTTCATAGAAACATATTTTTTTCAATAAACTAATGCAAACAAGAAAAAGTGTGTTTACCCTCTGATATAAGAGTTTTTGTGATTCTCGCCTGTACATTTGTAATGGCAATAAAAAAAGTTTTTAAGTATTCTGGGACTTCTGAGAGTACTCCACTATTCACATGATTAATATCAAAAATAATGCCTGTCAAAAAGTTCAGTTGGATATTGGAAATTTTCATCTAATGATAATTGTTTGCAACCTAAGAGAGGGGAAGCAATTTTGGATAAGCTATACAAAATATGTCCTCTTTTAATCATCTATCAGAAAGGTTTATGGCATGTTATCCCAACAAAACAGGCAATGACGAATCATGATTCGCTTCAAAGGGGAGAAGCAGTATATGCCAAAAAACCCATCACAAAAATGCGTTACAAAAGTATGGATGCGATGCGAGTCACTTGGATTTGCATTGCCAATTGAAATTTATACTGGCAAAACTCGCGTGACTCTGTCGAAAAAAATCTAGCAGAAAGAAGTATGAAAACTTGGTGCACAGCTCTTTATGGTAGAACCATAGAGTTTTCATGGACAAGTCTTCAGTGGTTATAATTGTTTTGCTTTTTAAAGCCACTGGCATCTATGCTTGTGCACTGTAAATATGAATCGGAAGTATTACCCAAAAGTTGAAATAGGACAATTATGTCGAGAGGAAATATGACTTTTCCATTAGCGATATTCAATTTATCCAAAATGGAAGGTAAGATCATTTCTATATTGGTCTTGGAAAAGGGCAACTGAAATGTCCAATTAGAATAGAACTGATGGAAAAACAAAAAAAAGTATGTGCATATTTCATAAATGGAATATGGGATATGTCGATTATTGACCACCTTAAGGACCAATGAAATAGACCGCAAAGCAGCATGGTGGCCAGGATCTTTTTTTACTTTTTAGATGTGAGTATAGTAAAAACACATTTTTCTATTTAGTTTGTTCGTGATCTGATCAAGATGTAAAAACAAATTGAAAGATTTCATCTCTCATAAGAAGGTCTATGCACTTGCAGACAAGAAAAGAGCTGAAAAGAAAACTGAAATCCCAAGTTCAAATAAAAAAAACTGTTTGTCCAACAAAAAAGTTAAAAATTAAGTCACACACAGGAGAACGAGCAGGAGGAAGATGTGCATATTGCAGCCATCGAGGAGAATGACGAACGTTTTGGATGTGTGCAACATGCAAAGTGCCCTATGCCTTACAAAAGAAATTACATGTTTTCAAGTTTCTCAAAAATGACCAAATCTTTTTAATCAATGAATTTTTTGAATTAAGTGGCCAAGTTAAATATTTATCAGGATGTAGACGAGATCAAATTTTAATCTTAAATCAATCCCCTCAAATATTTTCTTTTGTTCCTCTAAAATAACAAAATTAAATTACTGTACAAAATTTTTATGTGTTTATTATCAATTTTTAATACCCTAATTGCTATAGACGTGCTTTCATGCGTGGGATACGGGTATCCCACTTCCCCCATAAAAAATAAAAGCGCAAGAGTTTTTCCACCTGAAAGGCACTTAAGTTTATCTGGCAATCTAAGGCTTTTTTTTTTTTTAAAGATTAAAATTTTTAAATATGCGTGTCGCAAAGGTTAGGAGGTGCCACGGACTGAAGACATGGAAATTTCTAAAAGTACTTGCTATTTCCTTTATGTGTGCTTTGATCTATAGAAAAATATCCTTTGTTATGTTATTTAATTGTTTAATTTAAAATGTTTATTGACATTATATATTTTTTCTTTGGCTCTAGTGTAGAACTGCGTGCTCCTTTGGCATTTTAAGTGAAAATAGATCGCTTGTTACAGACAAAAGTCAAAGAGAGTGCGCAATGCCAAGTTTATGCAATTCTGTGATGTTTTTTGAAGTGAAGATAGGTCGATGTGTACATGAACACTGAGTTTATGCTATTGTTTGACTTGTTATATTGGCTTTTTGTAGCGGAGATTTTTGGCGCAAAAGTGGCACAAACTTGGTGTCCATCTACTGTCAAAATTCGCTAATTTTCGCCAAGGGGCACCCATAAATATATTTTTAATCCCAAAACAAGAAAAATATAACAAAATTAGTACTATATATTTTTCAGTATGGATTAATGGGTGAGTCAATGCTTATTTGTCTAGAATTAATTTTTTCGGAACTTTGCACCATACAATTAATTTGCTAGAAAAAAGAAACAGGGGTCTTTTATTTCCAGGCATATGATTTTTTGCTGAAAAAACATGAATATATTGATTTTTGTAC